AGATCAGATAGCTTAAAAAAAACTATTATAGCAGCCACTGAAATTAAAATATATGTATATATATATACATCATGCTGAACTGGGGGCATAATTAAGGGCTTCATTAAAACATCCCTCTGTTGTGGCTGCATCGTTGACTGATATTTGTTGTTGCATTATGGGTAACCTACCTCCTATGCTGTGATTGTTTCCCATCAGGGTAGATTTCTCCACCATATTGGTTCTGACTTTATTGGTCGTCTCTGACCAAGCATGGTCATCTATTCTGTGCTAAGCAGATATTAATAGCTGGATTCCTGCAGATATTGAAATATGCAACTATTATTTATTCAAGCTTAACTCTAAATTTAGGAAACTTTACTCTTATAGCCACACTGGGAACATCTTCAAACAAGTACTGGCCTAATTTGAAATATATGAAATTATTTCTCATAACATAACATTCAGCACTTGCCACGTACCCATACTATGTGAGGGCCAAACTTCTCTAAAACTCGCCTATGTAACTTGAGAGGGTCGGATCCTGTGTAGGTACCAGATCTGCTCGGGTGGTCAGATCTGCTCAGAGCCCTGCCCCTGCTGATGACATCACAATATGGCAACGCCACTCAGGCAAACTGCATTGCACCTGTTTCTTTAAAGGTATAATGGAGGATTTTAACTTTCAAAAGTCTATTAAACGTGTGCGAGAGCATGCACGAGCCCATTTCTCCTCGTACACGCTCTGTGTAATAGTTGCTGTTTGCATCGCTCATACAAGCTTACTTGTATGAGCGATGATTAGCAATTTTTCCACTATGTCAGACTCACCACAGGTAAGTGAAAATAGGGATGAGCACGTACTGTAGGACGGACTTATTAAACGTATCACCAGAATGATTGACAGTTAGGAGGACCACTTATTTTGATGATCCACTAAGAAAAAGAACATCCTCCACTATACCCTTAAGAATTAAATCTCTTCTGAAGTTTAATCTTATTATTACCTATATCTGCTATTATATAACGTTTATTTGGCGACCAAAGGTAGCCGAAAGTAGAAAACAATCATTGTTTGTCTTGAAGGAAAGTAGTGGGTTCTTAGACCGACTAAGTTCAGTCATTTACGTAACAGGATGACAAAAAAAGTCTCAGTACTTCTTATTCTCTTTAAGATCTGAGCGCAGGGGAGGATGAATTTAACAAGCTAAAAATAACTTTTACTGAGATTTTAGAGGAAACAAAATCACCAACGCTAATTCAGACATTTGAATTGAAAGTTGTTATTGATACAAAGGCCGTTTCTCAATATATGTGTGCTTGTGCGTTCTCATGTGCTGAAGTACTTGTGAAACTTCATCAGCCTCAGCATTAGTACTGTTTCAATTCACAAGAATAGCAGATCGAGAACGGATAAAGTCCCCGGATGTTGTTCTCGCCCCTCCCTATTTATGTGCCCAATAAGCATCAGAGCAGACTTCTCAGTTATTGAGATTGAGAGCTGTCCCAGAATGCACTGCGGCAGCAGCAGCTTTAAATGGAGCGCACCATTGAAAGTTAAAAGTTCAATTTTGTGTTGCTGTTGGTCAATAAAAGTACATTTTAAGATAATTTGAGGCGAGAATATTATACTTTAAAGCGTCACTATATGGTCCATTTACCGATTTCATGCGTAATTTAAAAAAAAGTTCCAATGTTGAGAGGTATGCAGCAACCAGCGGACCTCTGAAGCTAACGGCAGCCGGGGCTAATGTTAGCCCGTCTGCAGCAGCCCTCTCTCTGCATAGCCGTGTGTGAAGGACCGCTGGCTCTGATGGCGATTGTTTTTGTTTTATTTGGAAAAATATTCATTTGATTTGTGTTTATCTAACTGTATTCATTATTATTCCCCCAATAAATGAAAAAGTTAGACTTTATTATTATTTAGAGACTATTAATAACAGGAGGTGAAATGCAGCTCCAGACGAGCAGAGCATGTGGTGATGTCATCAGTACGCTTCTGTTGCATTTGACCCACATTTATGCTGTATACTCCGGTTCTCCCAGAGTCCACACTTTCCTATGTTCTTCCCAAGAACATACTTGGCGAGAACACGATTCCGTACTCGCGTTCTAGTGAATTGAGAAACGGCTGCAGCAGCTAATCTGTTTGTTTCTGTTTGAGAATTTTTTCTTTTCTATTTCGAGAATAAAGTCGTAACATTAAGAGAATAAAGTCGTAACACTATGAGAATAAAGTCGTAAAAATACGAGAATAAAGTCATAATGAGAATAGTTATAAAATAAGAGAATAAAGTCATAATATTAAGAGAATAAAGTTACAACAAGAATAGTCTTAAAATTACAAGAATAAAGTCACAAGAATAGCCATAAAATTAAGGGAAAAAAGTCATGATATTAAAATCATGAGAATAAAGTTGTATTTTATGACACCTCTTACAGAAGCACTTTCTTCCCTAAAATGAGGAATGTCAACATTATGTGAAGTTATACTTTGGCTCTGGTTTGACAAATAATGAAATCTTTAAGCACACCAGCATCAACCAATAAACATTAGTGAGTGACAACATGATGTGAGTGCATGCATGGTTGGGCTGTTTCTGGCAGAAAGCATTAAGATGTAATTACTGTTTAATTACACGTATGGGGCTCACAACACGCCCAATCAAATACATAGAAAGTTCACGCATAAGTAGTTCCACAAACACGTTTGTGTTTGTGGAACACCTGTTGCTCTGAGTGCTGTGAGAGAGAAAGAGGCTCTGTTTAGAATCATTCACACCACGTTTATCACCAACAATAACTGTCGATGATCATCTGCATAGAGCTTTACTCGTCTCTGCTAATGACTGGAGCCAGGAACCCTGCCATGGGAGCTGTGCTCAGCCTTTGTAATAACAAATTACATCTAAACCTTTAACTTTATTAAAGCCTTATTTAAAAACAACTTTTACACTGTGTGTGTACTGAGTCACCGCATGATTAGGACAGACGGAAATTATACTAGTAAGAACATTTAAAAAAATTATTTATCATAGTTATGATGAATCAAGTTCCCATTTGATTAGTACTGTTAGGACTAGCATAATTAATCCAAGAGACACAGCTGACCTGGAGTTATAGATCCACACACTTTATCTGCCTTGAACTTCTATATATAATGTCTTGTTTTTTATATAAAATATCATATTTTGTATAATTACATAGATTTTATGTGATAGAACAATACAAAGTGGTTTTTGTGTTTTACAGCTTAATGTTTCACCAAGGAGTTGGTGTGTAGAGGCTGATGTTTGTCGCTATAATTGAAAATCATTCAACATTCTTCCCTATTAAGCATTACTGGCACAACATAACACTATTATTAAAATGCACTGAGGTTTGTGGTGTGATATTGCCTAACCTGTTACCTGTCATGTTGCTTCTCGGGACATGTGTGGAACCTCAACATTTGCAGACTTTAACTCCCACAATCAGGCTCCCGTCCGTCATAAAAATGGTTTTATAAGGCGGGATAGACACCCCCGAGGGTTAAAGAATGGCAGCTGATTTAAGATTTGCTTCTCAGGCATTTGTGATTAATTTTGGTTTGGTCAGTTAACAGGTTAATGTGGAAAAGCTAAACTATTTTATTATCTTGTCAGAGTTTTGCCTCAAACTGCAAGCATGTCAGTGTATTCTCATTATCAGTTCGTATGAAATCGTACGAAAAGTGATGCACAGTATTTCGTAGGTTTTTGACGTTTTTTTTCGTCGTATTTCGTCGTATTTGTACGTCTTGCCTCGAGACAAGATATCAGTGCCCATGCGCATCTTACGCACCATTCAATAACATACAATTAACCCTAACCCTAAAATACAAAACAGCAAGCAACGTAGTGGGAGACATCATGAAGTAATTATTGCACTGCTTGTCCGTCCCAGTTTTACGTCCGTCCGCTGATCTGCTTTTTTCTTCTGGCTGGCTGCGCATGCGCACTGATATGTTTTTTTGAGGAAAAACGTCAAAAACCCACGAAATACTGTGCATAACTTTTTGTACGATTTCATACGAACTGATAATGAGAATATGTTGAGCATGTATACCAGTAATGCCTGTTGAGGCATATTTGAGACATACCAAAATTCCCTACCTAGAGTTGCTTAAACACCTAATAAGAATATGTGTTTCCTGTTTATATCTGAATAACAAACTTGTTTTGTTTATAATAAAACATACTAATGTGTATATATATATATACACACATATAAACATACATACATTTACATATAGATATACAAGATAATTGTGATTTTTGCTATTTTAGAAAAAAACATAATTTGCTGTATTTGTGATAAAAACTTACAGCAAATTGTTTATATATATATATATATATATATATATATATATATACACATATATACATACACACATACAAACACACACACATATATATGTGTAGATAGATAGATAGATAGATAGATAGATAGATAGATAGATAGATAGATAGATAGATAGATAGATAGATAGATAGATTTAAGAAAAAACACAATTTGCTGTATTTGTGATCAAAAACATACACAATTTGCTGTATTTGTGATCAAAAACATACAGCAAATTCTGTTTTTCTAAAATAACAAAAATCATAATCATCTTTTTGAAATGCTAGGCATACAAACAATACTTTAGATAAGCAAAAAACAAGAAACAGATTTTTTTTTTTTTGTGAGAAATAATGGACAATAGACAGCTGGATGCACTCCCTTTGTTCATCCCTTCACTGGAAACTTTTCTATTTCTTTTGTTCTATTCATCCACTGTTTAATTACCAGCAATAAATTAAATTTCCCCTTTGACAGAGTAAACAAAAGTCTTTCATACCGTTGGACAAACAATTTGACAGAACTGATTTGAAGTTGAGAGAAAAAAAAAAAAAAAAAAACATGCACTGTCCCTTTAAATGGAGAACCTGCCTAAGCAGCCCTTAGAATAAACAATCAAAAGGAGTCCAGGGAGTTTGGTGGACATGTGAAGCACTCACCACGGCGGACACATGGATGACGGGCATCATGCTGAATCAGAGAACACGGAGGAGTGTCGAGCAAACGTCCTTGTCCAAGTTGTGTGCTTTAGTAACACTTCTCATCTCTAGATGTTTGTGCTCATCATCACCGCGGTCCCCCTCAGCTCAGCGGAGGATGGAGGATAAGGCGCTCTGGGCTGCTCTCTCTTATACTCTGTGTTATCACTCTGTGATGGGCTCGGTTCGCTCAGGACGCCGCGCTTAATTCCCATAGCGATGATGGAGCCGCCTCGCCCCTGGCCGGTTCGCTGGGTGTGCAGTGCGGCTGGGTCCCCGCTGCAGACCTCCACCGACAGCGCAGCGATGACGTAAAACAGGCGGGCGGAGCTTGATGGGATTTCCAGCCAATGGCGGCTGCCTGAACCCTACGCACGTGGACAGAACTGCAATTGTGAATCGAGGAGGAAGGAGATGATCCCAAAGTGAGATCTGTAATGTCATGTCCTCAGTGAGCAGAGACTGGGAGGGACCACAGACTGACTGGATACCAGTACGAGTCTGGAAACTGGCAATAAACACTCATTCCAGTCCAATTTGGCTTTTTTTCTTGGACTGAGCTGTTCTTTTTTTCATTCAATGTGATTTGAAAAAAAATCAACTATTAACAAGTTTGACAAAGGGCCTATAAATTGTAATTATTGGATTATTGAAAAGAGCCCATTAAAAAAATATATATATATATATATTTATAAAGTAGAAAAGCTTATTTTTTTCTAATTTTTCCAAATTAAAGTGACACTCCAGGCCTTAAAGTGAAAAATCCTGGATTTTTTAAAGTGCTGATTAGGGATGAGAAGTTATCATCTTAGCTGGAGTTGGTCTCACAGTCTTTCATTTGTATAAATCCCACTGATCTCTTATTTATTCACTGGATTGCTGATAGCCCATCGGTAGTATGTGGTGGAGTAAGCCACCGGCTGCCATATTGGTACTCCCTAGTTAGATCAGTAGCAATGGAAATATTACATGCCCTACATCATCGAACAACAATGATGTTCTCGTTTTCACGGGGGCTTAATACTTTTGAAATAAGGATATAAATTTATCACTTGGACACACTTTCTGTTTAATAGCATAAGTATGGCGGCCGGTGGCTTCACTTTTATCAGGCTATCAGCAATCTAGTAGATAAATAGAGATCAGTGTTAAATCCAGATTTTGTGAACAGGAAGTCCATTGCATTCTGAGCAGCAAACAACCACCCAAATGTTTTCCAGTATAAACATTAATTGGTTTCTTTCTAAATAACCATCCATCTATCCATCCGCGTCGCAGAGCCAGCAGTCTAAGCAAAGATGCCCAGACCTCCCGATCCACACACACGTCCTCCAGCTTCTCTGGGGGAACCCAGAGGTGACATAAAGCCAGCTCAGAGACATAGTCCCTTCTATCAATCTCATGTTCCATCTGTCCCTCACTCGGGAACAAGACCCTGAGATGCTTGAACTCCTCCACTTGAGACAAGGACTCTCCACTGACCTGAAGAGGGGAGTCCACCTGGCTGGAAATCGCCCCAGTTCACATCGGGGATCCTGGTTTGATGAGGCCAACAGGACAACATCATCTGCAAACAGCAGAGATGATATCCTGAGGTTCCCAAACCGGACACCCTCTGGTCCCTGGGTGCAGCTAGAAATTCTGTCCAAAAATGTAATAAACAGAACCCGTGACAAAGTTCAGTGTACATAGTAAAAAAATGCATAAAAGCAATTCCTAAAATAGCATACATTTTATGACATTTTTTAAAATTGAAGTGTTTTAAGACTATATTTCCCTCATAATACAAACCCTACTAATTTTGATTTATACTAAATGAAATATCAAAAATATAAAAAGGAGTTTTGCATTGCATACAATACAAAACATGAGTAAAATAAAAAGCTCATATCCAGACATGGAAATCAGAAGCATGACAAATGGGGATGGAAGAGGCTTGCCATAGAGTAGAAACCTGTGAGGAGTGAATAAAACTGACCAGTATGAATATGGAAAGCTGCAGCTGAAAACTGATTAACAAGAGCAGCTGGTGAAGGGGGCTGATTAGGAAGTAGAGTGGGAACAAAAAATATTGAGAACTAAACAGAGATACAAAGACACAACCAGACAGAGAAAACTAACACAAGACTCCAAATAAAAGCAAACACACAATAACCAGACAGAATATAAAAATACATAAACAAAAAGCATATAATTGGAGCAATTACAAAATAACTGATGATGCAAAATACAATGTAAAAAAATAGTGAGGGTGTGACAAGACATAAAACATGAAAAATATTAATCCAAATGAAAGATCTTCGCATAAAGGCTATATGAATTAATTTTACCAGTTAAGCTGGTTTTTCTTTATCTGCATTAAAAGTCGTAGGGAAATGGACGTTCCAACCATTTTTCTAAATTCTCATGATTGGTGCACGCTCTTACACGAGTGAATAAAGTGAATGTGATTGGTCGATTATCAAGGGGGCGGAGTTGTTGTGGCGGAAGGTTCGCAAGCACTTTTCATTGTGGCCGGTTTGTCGGAATCATTGCTGCTAACCAGTTAGCAACTTAGTGCTAGTAGGTTCCCAATGGGAAATTCCATTGGGACCAAGTAGCACTAAATTGGTGACTTAGAAACGACACTGTCAAGGAACGCTATGGACAGAGGAAACATGCAAGAGGAGGAGAGTTTAGTGTCGGAGGTCGTGGATGAGTCTCCTCTGTCATACAATTTTTATTTAGAGGAGGAAAGTGGGGATGAAGATGATGTGGAAGAGGACGCCAGGGTTTAGTTTTAGGTGTTCAGGCTGACGTATAACTAACTGGCCTGCATAAAATAACGGAGAAAAAAAACACAGATTTTAAGACAGGATTTTTTTTTTTAAATAGAAATTTTCTAAATTTTGTGACAATATCGTCTGATAAACAGTAAAATTATATACATGTTTAAGCCAGAATGATTTGACATGTAAATATGACTTCCCTACGACTGTAACAATTATTGTTTTTTGTTTTGCTTAAACACTAACTGGAACATTCCTCTTGCTAATTCATTTTTTACTGCAACAAGTTTTCCCAGACATTTTCAGATAATATTTGTCCTTTTTAAGTGGTTCTTTTGGGCTAGGCTAGCACAGCTGCTAACAGACACTGCAGACATAAAGTATGCATAGACTAGGTTTGGAAAGCATCCACTTATGTACACAGTGTGTGCTGAAGTACCCCATTTAGTGGTGAAGAAGCCCTATATGTGCCCTTTTTTCTTTCTGAGGCTGTCCTTCAAAAAGACTACTTAAAGCTAATGCAACCATCCCTTGCAAAAAAGGAGTAGTCCCATATTTATACCAAAAGTATGTCTCAAAATTACATCCTGGTTTGTGTCATATGTTAACAAAATCTTTTTGCACAAGTAAGAAAATGCAAAAAAAAATATATTTACCATGGCGATAGGTTGGAATACAATGCCTGGCCAAAAAGTGTCCCTTAATAATTTTGCAAGGAGATGGCAAAGAAACTAGGGTTACTCCTTGAAATGGAAAAAAAATCCTTATTTGTTAGCTAAAGCTTTTTTATCCTCACAGTTTAACACAATTTTAAGATTTTATACTACTTTAGCCAAAGTGCTGGCTCAGAGGTAGTCACACCTGCTCCTTGAGGAGTTATATCTATGTTTAAGTTGGGTTCCTGACCCTACAATGGTGTGATTACGTCTCAGCTTTCCACCCAGGAGGATGAAAGCACTACTATTGACCCATTTATTAAAATCAGGTTAGTTGAAGCAGGGAAAGAGCCTAAACACCTGGCACACTGCCACTAGGAAACTGGATTTGCCTTCGTCTGTGTGAGGTACATGTTACATGATCACAACCACCTGTTCTGCAGCCATGGTTTTTATGGGATTACTGCCTCATCAGAATTTGAGGTGCCAACTGTTTAACATCCACTGTCCCATATGTTTCAGCTGAGCAAACACTGCCGCCCACTCAGTCATCTGCTACGAGTGCTCCGACTGCCACCCATAGGTTTCAGGCCCTGCTGTCTATTTATCCAGACGCAAGGTGTGCAGTGTTTATCCCCGTCAGGCATGCCTTCAGTAAGCAGTCTTAGTGCACACAATCTGGCATGCTCGTAGTCTCAGCCGTCTCTGCAAATAGCATGGGCAGATAAAAGGGCAGAGCACCATCTGCCCTGCATGTGGAGCGGAAAGGAGTGGACGAAACTGGGGGAGAGATAACGGGATGAACGATGCTACTTTGATTGCACTGCCAGGGAGGAACTGAAATTAAGTGGGTCGCTGACTCAGCACTTTTAATGGGAAAATTCAGGGTTAGTAGAAAGTTGAGGCTGAAAATGACCACTTTTTCTGTAAGCCCTAAAATACATGGCTAAAAAAAAGAGCTATGCTATAGAGTATCTTTATCCTCGCAGGCTCAATCATGCTACAGAGCATTGCTGACGTGCTGTTGCTTCTGGAGGCTGGGTATGGCTGCAGGGCCACACATATCCTCACGCTGCAGTTACTGGGAGAAGCTGCCTTTTATAGAACTGGAGTTAAAACAGCCTATTATGTGGGGAAATGTGGATCTGTGTGTGAGGATGCAAGGAGGGAGTACCGTTCTGAGCGAGAGGCAGGGAGAGTGTGCTTCCCGTCACCGGGGCATTTGTGCACGTGTTTGCCTTTTTATGAGCGCCTCTTAAACCAGATATGCTACAAAGGCTCCCGCAGTGGTTTTACTCACACACACAAACACAAACCCTCTAAACTTGCATCCAACCGTTTACTATCAGCAGCTACAAACAGCAGCCCACCCTGACACTAACAAGCACCTTGGCACAGGTTGAAATCAATGCCGCTGTAATTCCCTCTGAAGGATAATTCCAGTTTATTACAGCTTAGTTCCATTATTTTCATAGTTTTATCAACATCTGTAAAAGGAAATCAGGCAGAGAAAGGAACACAAATTACAAACTCAACAATAAAAACCCTGAACTATAACCTTCACATACTTTTGAAACATATGTGTGATTATTTGACTGACCTGTTCAGGGCCGCTGGAAGTAATTTTGAACAGGGGCTGCGGTGAAATTGTTGTTGTTTGTTTTTTTGGAAAAAAGAGCTATGAGCCTATAGGCCTGTTTAAAATACAATAAAAATAAATAATTAAATATATTGAGATTCACTACTTTATTGTCATATACACTTCAGTGCACACAACCAGGGTCTGTAACACAAAGACGTCGTAATTTCTCAGATGAATATATGCGTTATTAGTTAAACTTCACAATAACAGTATAATGCGTATATTTGGTCAGCTGACATGAACCTGAGTCACTGTGTTTATGTCACACGTGACACTATTAGATCCAATATGCTTTTATGCAAACCACAAGGGAAAAAAATATATTATCATGATATTTAAACATTATGGAAGAGTTTTCCACATCCATTACACAAATAACACAAGATCAAAACAACACTCTAAAATACTTTGGTTACATTAAACTGCATGTAAGTGTGCAGTGGCACCATGCTCTTACTTTGTGCTACAGGCAGGTTGCCCTGGTTA